TAAACCACTCAGGGTGAAAGAATATCTTGGGTATCCACGAAGCTTTAATAGTTAAATTAAAGGCACGTAAATTAATTAACTTTAAACCACCATTTTCCACCGAATTGTACAATACTTTTCTAGCTACTCTTTCCGGCCCGTCATCCCAAATGAATGAGAAGATCTTCTTCTCGTATATTTTGAAAAATAATTTATTTGCCGAAGGTAAAACTTGAAATAAATTTGTGAACTGGGGAACCACCATTTCTTTTTGACGATACAGATACTTTTTGCTAACACTATTAAATCGTTATATACCTTATATACCTTGAAACTTATGTTTTCTTCTGTGTTGCCTTTTTCCTTAATTAGATGGACTATAGGACTATATCAGAGGTTTATTTAACCAGAGAAACATATGGCCCTGGAGGGCGGTTTTCAATCCACCCTGGGGGGGGGGGCAATCCCCAAACACAATAAAATGATAACGATACAACATAAAGTAATCGCTAAAGAAACTTATGTACAATCAAGAGGCAAATTGCAAGGACTTATTAAGTAACAGAATAGAAGAATAAGCTTAAATGGTCCAAAACAGGCATACATCAAATAATATCAAATCAATCATAGAGAAATCAAATCATGGAATGATAATAAAAAGGATGAAATTTGCATATCAATGTACAGTTGGCAGGCAGTCTTGTTTGTATATTTGTTTTAAGCCTAAGAGTGTACTGGCTGATTTCAGATGAGATTGTACGTTATTGCATAGAATCACCCCAGAGTACAAGAAAGCTCGCTTACTGTACTCCAGTTGAACTTTTGGCAACTGTAGGTGGTGAGTTGACTATACAGCACAAAAAGTAAGATTCAGGCCAAACAGTTTGGCCTCATTCTTTTAAAATAACTATTTCATATTACGTCAGAAACAAAAGTCAGGTGTAGGTGGTCGGTTTGAAACATTGAACGTTGACATTATGGGGTAACGTGTCAACCGACATCTAATGTATTAAATAGCTAATCAGCCATAGTGTCACCTTTGAACCACATGGCGTTCTTCTTCCTTTTCTTCATTTCGATGCCCACGTTCATGTCTGTGTTGAACATTCTGGCATGTTGAGGAGGTCAGAGGTTTACTGCAGATGTGTCCTGATCGCTGTCCATAATCATGTTCGCACATCCAAGCGTAGATTCATCACCAGGAAGACCCTGCCAGTTGTCGTGTAAAAGAAAATCAGTTCACAGCCCTGGACACAGAAGTGTCTACTGTGGTGGCCTCGACCGCAGACTCAGATAGAGCATTCCACTCCTTTGAATTAATCATGTTTATCGATGTTCACCTGCACTTCCGAATGCGGCAAAAGTATGAAATGCCCAGCAGTTACAACTATGAAACATGGGTAGGAAGGCACCCGCTCTGCACTGCGTCCTGACGTTGATGCCACGAAACTGCAGGCTGTGAGTACGACGCTGTCTAGATGGGGGTGGTGGAGTCAGCTTGCTCTTGATTGTGGGGCACTGCACCAGGCCGTGGATTATTTTGTACATCACTCCTAGACGTGATGATTTACTCAACGTCGTTCTAATGAGGGACAACTGAGCGATTCTTGCATGGTACTTGAACTAGAGGTACTATGGTAGCGGTTTAGGACGAATATAGCAGCACGCCTCTGGACAGACTCCAGCTTGTCGATGTTCTTCTGGGTGTGTGTGTCCCATCATACTGTAGCTGGGTACTCAACTAAGGTTCTCACAAACGCTCTGTACGCCTTTGCTTTAATGGTACTGGAACTAATTTTCAGGTTGCGTCTGAGGAAGCCTAGAGCTCTGTTGCCTGGTTAAAGCCTACAGCTCTGTTGCCTGGTTAAAGCCTAGAGCTCTGTTGCCTGGTTAAAGCCTACAGCTCTGTTGCCTGGTTAAAGCCTAGGGCTCTGTTGCCTGGTTAACTCTGCTGTTGATCTGAGCGTCCCAACTCATGTCCCGGCACAGTGTAACTCCCAGATACTTTGTTGAGTGGACGCAGAGTGTGCAAGTGGAGTGTGTAGGAACGCTGTAAAGGTTTCCGTTTTCAAGTAACTGGCATGTATACACGATTTGCAGGATGAAACTGCATAATGTCTGGTTATATTATACAGCAATTTTCTAGCTGGAGGGATTTAGACTCCTGCCACCATACATATGAACGCGTTTGAGTAAGAATTAACAGAGCAGACCATTTGCGAAGGGGACGAAAGCTAGTGGATACTAGCTGAAACGACACCAAAATCATATCCAGTTGCTTCAGTAACTGCTTTTTGGCGCATTATGCATTTGCTTTGCAATTGTTACCTTTCTAGCTTTTATCTTCCTTTCTCAGCTTTTATTTCCTTTCATATAATATTAGACCAGCAAAAATGGCGCATTTACGTTTTTTGGTGATCTGTTTGAAGTGTAACGTTTACAATATGAGGAAAGCGTAAAGTACCACATGACGTCAAATGTACTGCATGGGTAATCAGGCAGAGAATTTAAACTTTGACCCACATTTCGTTCACCTCTGACCTCACATGAAGATGGAAGGACAAAGCTGGCCGAGTTCCGGTTTACGTGAAGAGAAAAACCATCAAAGGAAGCAGGTAAGACTTCGAAACGGGGAGCAAAGTATTCTTATGATGAGAGAAATAGTTAAAGATAATTTCTGTGGAAGAAAGACCTCTTTAAGACTATTATTTGTATAAATTTTTGCAATGTTTATATATATTGGAAATAAAGGGGGGTGGGCGAAATTTCGCGAAACCTAACATATGTTTGACCCTTGCAACCTATAATGGACGCCAACTTGCATAAGGCAAAGTGGCCTATTTGAAGGGCGTTGAATAATGTACAAGTATAGGAATATTGGCTACTATGTTTTAAAGAAACGCATAGGAAACGCAATAGGACCATATTAAAATTGTACACATTGTCGCAGTGTTATATGATATGCACTGGAAGCAAAGGGGGAGGGGGCGAAACCTAACATTTGTTCGACCCTTGCCAGTTTGTACGTCAATTTGTATCATTGTTTTTGGGAACAATATAGAAATGTTAACTGGATTGTATACATGTAAAAAATCACATAAGGCGTACATTACAAAATCTAGAAAAGCGTAGAACTGTCAACAGTGTATTAAGCACCTAAAGACTATGTCTAGCGAGAAAAATAGACGTTAAACTGGGAATTCAACAACAAAACAACTATAAGACTATAGCATGGTGACCAAACTTATACTGCAGAGTCTCCTCTTTCATGCCAAGCGAATGGATTGTAGTCGTAGAAGTAATAAATAATATAATATAAAATGTTTTAAATACGCTCTGTAGTGTGAGCAAGTGATTGTAAGATCTCAGAAATTGTGATTTTCAACATTATAGAAGCAAATTTATTCAAATGCAAGAAATAAAACACCATATAATTATGGTGGGCTACATTGTTATGCAAAAGATTGAAATAGTTGTAAAGCTCAAGTTGAAGTTATAACTCTTTAAACCGTGTTTTCAATTAACCCAATTTTATCATTGACAGCTTTTAACGCTTAATCTTTAAAATTTCTTAATCTTCATTTTTTTTCATTAGACTGAACATGGAAACGACAGGACGCGGGTCTCCCACCGGAGTTGGTCGAAGCTGCTGTGATGAGTCTCCCACCGGGGTTTCCCAGGTCGACTGTGACAGCAAAACAGTCAATGATGAAGAGCAGGTGGCAGCACGAAAAGTCAATTTGAATAATGCTGGTGAGAAACCCTACATGTGTGGGGAGTGTGGGTACAAGGCGGATTACAAGTATAAGTTATCCATACATATAAGAACCCATACAGGAGAAAAACCCTACAAGTGTGACCAGTGTGACTATTCTTTAGCACACAGAAGCAATTTGGCCAAACATCTCGCAAGACACACCGGTGAGAAACCCTACATGTGTGGGGAGTGTGGGTACAGGACAGCGTACAAATCTCACTTGTCCCAGCATATGAAAACCCATACAGGTGAAAAACCATTCAAGTGTGACCAGTGTGACTATTCTGCAGCTCTGAAATCCACGTTGGACCAACATCTAACAAGACACACTGGAAAGAAACCCTACATGTGTGGGGAGTGCGGGTACAGGACAGGTCATAAACCTGACTTATTGCGACATATGAGAACCCATACAGGAGAAAAACCCTACAAGTGTGACCAGTGTGACTATTCTGCAGCACACAAATCTTCTTTAGACGATCATATCAAAAAACACACTGGTGAGAAACCCTACATGTGTGGGGAGTGTGGGTACAGGGCAGCTGCGAGGTCCAACTTATCCCGACATATGAGAACCCATACAGGTGAAAAACCCTATAAGTGTGACCAGTGTGACTATGCTGCAGCACAGAAATCTTATTTGGACCAACATCTAGCAAACCACACTGGTGAGAAACCCTACATTTGTGAGGAGTGTGGATACAGGACAGTTAAAAAGTCTGCCTTATTCCGACATATGAGAACCCACACAGGAGAAAAACCCTACAAGTGTGACCAATGTGACTATTCTGCTGCACAGAAATGTCATTTAGACAAACACATAGCAAAACACATCGGTGAAAATGCTTCATCCCAAAATGTAGGAAAACTCATTGGTGAGAAACCATACATGTGTAGGGAGTGTGGATACAGGGCGGCTAAAAAGAATAACTTATCCCGACATATGAAAACCCATACAGGAGAAAAACCCTAAGTGTGACCAGTGTGATTATTCTGCAGCACGGAAGGCTGATTTGGGCCAACATCTAACAAAGCACACAGGTGAGAAACCCTACATGTGTGGGGAGTGTGGGTACAGGACGGCTAAAAAGTCTGCCTTATCCCGACATATGAGAACCCACACAGGAGAAAAACCC